TAACTTCCGCTTTAAAAAGTGTGTTCGTATTATTAAACGCATCGGCAGAAAATTAAATAAAATTCATAACATGCAAGGATTCAAATTATTGTTCATTTTTATACCCATCATAAGTTGCGCTTTAATCAGCAAATATGTTATTTGATGAAATCGAGGGTAACTACGGCTGAAAATATAGCGTAATCTCACTATAATAGTGATATACCACTATTATAGCGGAATTTACGTTTCCCCCCAACCTGATGAATCCAATTTAATTGTGGCAAAGTTGTTGCAAGATACTCAGGTGACCTATAAGGCCCATGGGCCTCTTGTTTTTAAATTTGTCCCAGAGTATCCTTGGCCCTTGGCTCTTATTTATCTAAAATTAGGGATGTGACCCTTAAAGAAGGGGAGATAATTAGGGAAATAAAAACAAAAGTACTGGTTGCTAAAAAACTTTCTTAAGAACCACTGGGCAGATTATCACCAAACCAATCTAATTAAAATTAGATGTTCCGAATCCGCTACCGCTTCTCAAACATCTAACAACGTCCCATTCGGGGTCACGTCAGAGCGACCTTTCGATTACCCAATGAAATCGCCGTCATCGATATTTTGGCTTATAGTTCGGATGCGTTTCTTTTTTTACTGCCAAACCTAAACGCCCGAGGGGTTTCGTAGTAAACAAAATATGCATGGTAAAGACCGTGCTATAAATGTATGTGACGTGCGGGAAATATAGTAGTTTGTGCATTTTCGTTTGCGTTATTCAGGTAAGAATGCCAGATTGGCGGACTATACGTTCAATTTATACCAAAATTACTTTAATTCAACGTAAGACAGTCTACTGGGCATCAATAATATAGAGATGCAGCCGTGGAACTAATTTTAGAATTGTATACGGAAGGTTGAATCTGATTGGCCAAAATTTTTATGTTTATTCATAATCGAAAGGTCGCTCTGACGTGACCCCGAATGGGATGTTTTAGATGTTTGAGAAGTGGTAGCGGATTCGGAACATCTAATTTTAATTAGATTGTCACCAAACTTACATATAGGGATGAAAATATGTTTATGATTAAAAATTGTTCAAGGCATCACCCTGGGGCAAAGGGCGTGGTCTCAAGGTCACTTCAATGTTGACCAAAAAATATGTTTTGTTAAAACGTTGATATTTTGCTTACTATAAGGACTAGGATAATCAAATCTTGTCAGTTAATGCATCTTAGGACCTCATATCATGTTGACTCAAAAGTATGTCACATTGACCTATATTTTGAATTTTGCAGGCATGTTTTCAAATTGATTAAGAGGCATATTTTGGACACTTTAAGTCCTATGGTCATCAAACTTTGTCAGTTGATGCATCTTGGGTCCTCGGCGTATGTCAACTGAAAAGTATTTGTAGGTCACCTTGACCTACTTTTTAGCTCACCTGAGCCGAAGGCTCAAGTGAGCTTTTCTGATCAAAATTTGTCCGTTGTCTGTCGTCATTGTCGGAGTCGTTGTTGTCGTAAACTTTTCACATTTTCATCTTCTTCTCCAGAACTACTGGGCCAATTTCAATCAAACTTGGCACAAAGTATCCTTGGGTAAAGGGGATTCAAGTTTGTTCAAATGAAGGGCCACTCCTCCTCAAAGGGGAGATAATTAGGAAATAGCAAAAAATTAATGGCATTATTGAAAAATCTTCTTCTCAAGAACCAATGGGCCAGGAAAGATGAAACTCATTTGGAATTATTGTCAGGGTAGTGTAGATTCAAGTTTGTTCAAATCATAATCCCGGGGGGTAGGGTGGGGCCACAATGGATGATCAAAGTTTTACATAGGAATATATAGGAAAAATCTTCAAAAATCTTCTTCTCAAGAACAGCAAAGCTATGATTGGTCATATTTATATGGAAGCATCCTCGGGTGGTGAAGATTCAAGTTTGTTCAAATCATGACCCCTGGGGGTAGGGTGGGGCCTCAATGGACGATCAAAGTTTTACATAGGAATATAAAGGAAAAATCTTCAAAAATCTTCTTCTCAAGAATAGCAAAGCAATGATTGGTAATATTTATTTGGAAGCATCCTCAGGTGGTGTGGTCCAAGTTTGTTCAAATCATGACCATCAGGGGGTGGGATGGGGCCACAATGGATGACAATTAAAGTTTAACATAGGAGAATATAGGAAAAATCTTCTTCTCAAGAACAGCAAAGCCATGATTGGTCAAATTTATATGGAAGCATCTGCAGGTGGTGTAGATTCAAATTTGTTCCAGTTATGACCCCTGGGGGTAGGGTGGGGCCACAATGGACAATCAAAGTTTTCATGGAGTATATAGGAAAAATCTTCAAAAATCTTCTTCTCAAGAACAGCAAAACTATGATTTGTCATATTTATTTGGAAGCATACTGAGGTGGTATAGATTCAAGTTTATTCAAGTCATGACCCCCAGGTGTAGGGTGGGGCCACAATGGATGATCAAAGTTTTACATAGGAATATATAGGAAAAATCTTCTTCTCAAGAACAGCAAAGCTATGATTGGTCATATTTATATTGGAAGCATCCTCAGGTGGTGTAGATTCAAGTTTGTTCAAATCATTACCCCCAGGGTAAGGGTGGGGCCACAATGGATGATCAAAGTTTAACATAGGTGTACATAGGAAAAATCTTCAAAAATCTTCTTCTCAAGAACAGCAAAGCTTTGATTGGATATATTTTTTTGAAAGCATCCTCAGGTAGTGTAGATTCAAGTTTGTTCAAATCATGACACCAGGGGGTAGGATGGGGCCACAATGAACGTTCAAAGTTTTATATAGGAATATATAAGAAAAACCTTTAAAAATCTCAAGAACAGCAAAGCCACGGTTTGTTATATTTATATGGAAGCATCCTCAGAATGTGTAGATTCAATTTTGTTCAAATCATGACCTCCAGGGGTAGGTTGGGGCCACAATGAAAGTTCAAACTTGTAGAGAAAAAAGTCACAGTCAAAAAATTATGTAAGCAGTGTAGATTTAATTTTGTTCAAGTCATACCCCCCCACTCCCTTTTAGGTGTAGGTTGGGACCATTTATGCATTTAAGTTTTTCAATACTAAACTGATTTTTCCTTTTTTCCTGGCCACAGTGCTCAGGTGAGCGATGTGGCCCCTGGGCCTCTTGTTGAATTTTATGACTAATCTTTTCCAAAACATTTAAGGTCATTATTTCAGATACTTTTAGGTTTAGAATTATGAAACCTTGTTAGTTGATGCATCTTGGAACCTTAAAACATATTTATCAAAAAGGAGGTCACAGTGACCCACTTTTTAAATTTTGCAGGCATTTGTTTTCAAATAGTTTCAGAGGCATATTTTGGACACTTTAGGGCCTATGATCATAAAACTTTGTCAGTTGATGCATCATGGTCCTTAGAGAAAGTCAACTGAAAAGTATGTCACCATGACTTACTTTTGATATTTTATAGCTATATTTAAATAATTCATGATCAGGTACTAATGGGCGTAGAATCATCAAACTTTGTCAGTTGATGCATCTTTGGACCTTGGAGAACGTCAACTGAAAAGTAGGTCACTGTGACCTACTTTGATATTTGATGGCTATATTTAAATATATCTTGTATTAATTGACTTTGAATCATCATACTTTGTCAGTTGATGTGTTTTAGGTCTTCAGAGAACATCAACTGAAAAGTAGGTCACGGTGACCTTTGAAATTTTATGGCTATATTTAAATATTTTCAGGGACTAATTGGCTTATAATCATCAAACTTTGTCAGTTGATGCATCTTGGGTCCTCTGAGAATGTCAACTGAAAATGTAGGTCATGGAGACCTAGTCTTGAAATGTAATGGCTATATTTGATTATTTTCCGGTACTAATTGGCTTAGAATCATCAACTTTGTCAGTTGATGCATCTTGGGTCCTAGGTGAGTGTCAACTTAAAAGTAGGTCACCATGACTTACTTTTGAAATATTATGGTTATATTTAAATATTTCAGGTACTAATTGGCTTAGAATCATCAAACATTATCAGTTGATGCATCTTGAGTTCTCAGAGTAGGTCAACTGAAAAGTAGATCATAGTGACTTACCTTTTGAAATTTATAATGATATTTTAATATTTCAGATGCTACTTCTCTTAGAATCATCAATTTTTGTCAGTTGATTTATCTTGGGTTCTTAGAATGTTTCAGCGAGAATGCAGGTCATGATGACCTTTTTTTTTGATTTTCAAGTCTTGATTTAAATATACAAGATACTTAGAGGTTTCAAATAGAAGTGACCGGTTGTACAATTTATCAGGAGAGCGATTCAAGGCCCTTGGGCCTCTTGTACTCAGTCGGTAGCAATATCACGAGAACTTGTTCAAGTACGAGGGTGTCCGATGCATGGTGAATTCATCCCATATGGAAATTTCCTTAAGTAGTGTAAAATCTATTTTTTTCAAACACTGACCCCTGGGTTAGGGTGGATCTAAAATGAGTGTTCAAAGTTTAAGATAAGAAAACACTTTAAAAATCTTCTTCTCAAGTACAGCATTTTTTTTTCTCAATTTATGGTTTGGATAAAGATCTTAAAACATGATATGTAGGGGTTTTGACAAACAATAGTTCAACAAGAAATGGGGGTCAATGCGCTTCTTTTGGCTCTACGGAGCATTTAGTATGACCTTGTCACACTGAAATTATGTCTAACACAAAAATTAATTTTTAAAGTTTATCCTCCAATATTTTTTTATTCAGATAAATTATGGGAACAAACATAGTCTTATTTCATCTTAAATAGACAAATAAATAGACCTTCAGCCACAAAATATAGTTCCTCACTAAATGCTTTTGGTTTGAAATTTAATCATGGGGTCTTAACTGAATATAGTTTAATTTGCATTGTAGTATCCAAATTTATTGTTAGAACTTAAACATTATGCAGAATTTTTTAAATATAGGTCAAGAGAAAAATCTGCTCAAAAGCTCAGGAATGATCCTCTTTTTAAGTTTAATCGATTTTGTTTAAATGATCTTTGCAGAATACTAAGAGAGGTGAAACACATGCTACCCTCAACCTCTTTCTTGAAACTGCAAGTGGATTTTACCTACAGGTAACAAACACTAACACATTGTTATTGTTGAAAACTGTGACCATTTCTGTATGAAGTAGGAATAGCAATTTGTAATCGGTTAACCGGTTACTTGGTCAGAACGATGGTAATTGGTTAGAAAATCTGTAATCGGTTAGTCAGAAAAAATTATAAATCATTGTAAATTATTTTAGACTCAGTTTCTGTTTATGACAATGCACAATGACCTTGTGTTGTAACAATATCAATTTCTGCAATATTTAAGAGATGTTTCATGGTTTCCTTATTTTTTCTTGCCGTTCGAAATTGAAATAAAATATAATACATAGCGTACTAATCAAGCATTAACACCTTTTTCAGTTTTTTTGTGTATATACAGTCCCTGAAACGTTCTACTTTCCCATTTTTCCGTTCGCTCACCGATTGTTCACCATTCGTTCAGGGTGCGTTCACCGTTCATTCACCGTTCGCTCTCCGTTCACAGTTTTGTGTTCTGCGTTCACCGTGTGCTCGCGTTCATCGTTCACAAAGCGTTCACCATTCGCTCTCCGTTCGTTCACTTTGCGTTCACCTTGTGTTCAGCGTTCACTTATCGTTCAGTCTTCACTGTCATTCGGAACTCCGAAGTGAAAGGACTTATCTTTTTTGTAAGTACGGATTTAAGGGATTTGAAATTTAATGATTAACATATCGTATTTCAGGGGTTCAAAATTCCTCAAGCCCGACGTCCCGGACTAACAAATTCCGGATCCGGACTCGGCATTTAGAATCGCCAAAAGTCCTGGGACTTGGCAATGTTTCTTGTTTATCTTTTATTTAAGTTAAGAAAAAAGTTCGTAAAACTAAAAATAAAGCAAATTCTCAAATGTATTGAATAAAAATGTGGATTTTTTGGCGTTAATATACCCACAAAACATTACGAACGTCTCAAAAATATAATCCGTCTTTTTATGTTCCGTTGCGGTTAGACACCTGCTTTTACGCAATTTCTCATGTTTCCTCCCATATGACATGAGTTTGTTAAATTTTGGTTTTACCTGGAAAGGAACGAGAAATAAAAGACCCCATGAGGAACATGAAGCTGGGGATCAAAATAACAATTCCAAAGACAGAACCTATGACAAGAAGAGAGTTCGCGAATTCCAAAGCCACTGGCGTGATGATAGGCTGTGGCTTGATTAAAATGACGATATGAAAACGATGTTTTGTTCATTTTGTCAAAGTTTTCCGATTACGGCGGACAAGTCAAATGCATTGATATATAAAATATAATTTTATCTATCATGAAAATATGGACTCAGAAATTTCTTCCTCGGACTTGCCTAAAATTTACTCTTTAAGTCCTGGACTTGACCATGATAAAAAAAATTTTGAACCCCTGGTATTTGAAGGATAATTATTTTATGTGGATAAATTATCTACAATATGTTTTATTATTATTCTAACTTAGCTGTTAGGTTATTAATTGAATTTCTCTGGAAAATAAATGTTGTTATAAGTATGTACCAATGTAGAACTATGCTGAAAAATTAAATCTAAATACGGGCAATGTACGGGTACTTCAAACACTGCAACAGTTTGTTGTTATGTTAAAGACAAGTCGTTAATGGAGAGATAATAATCCATGTCAATTAATTTACCAACTGCAGCAATATTACGAAAGTATTTATTACTAACATTTTTTTTTTTCAATTATTATAGAAATACATTATTAGAACTAGTTCTGAGAATTATAAATAGTACTGCGAATATCCAGTTAATTAAATATCTTTGGCGCAAATTAAATTGCTAGTGTGGGTAAAAGATATTTATTTAAATGTAAAACACTACAATTCATATATAAAAGCTATTGTTAGAGAAAAAAATTCCTCTCTTTACCATAACTTTATATGTTTGCCATTCAATATAATTAAGACATCCCCCCCCCCCTTTTCCACATAGATCGGTTACTTAGTCAGTATTTCCAGTATATTTAAAATTAATATTTAAAAAGAAGTTAATGCGTTTTGTTGCACAAAATTTTCAGTCTCAAAACAAACATGGATCTAAAAAAGTCATTAAACAATAGAAGTTCAAAATATACACACACCGACAGTGGTATTTTAAATTGGCCAGGGAGTTTGTTTCAAATTCATTGAAGTGTTTATGCCTAATGTATTTTATTTATTTATTTATTTATTGGAAAAAATTGGAATCAGATCTAGAAATGATAAAACATGTTAAAACTTCTTGGAAATACTACAGCGTAGCACTTCGCCTTTGGTGTGACGAGACTTTAATTCACACCTGCACAGTGTCGAATGATTTTGATTGACAGGACAAGCACGTGGACTTCGGGTGAACTTGAAGCAGTAAAATAAAAACTGACTATGACTGTCAAACAAAGTGAATTTGTTGATAAATAAAAAAGGTTACTTTCACTGTCTGATATATGAAATATATGGAGATAACGAACAGTATTCAAGCTCAAAAGTCCATTAAACAATACAAAATAGGAGCAGAGCAAACACGGACCTCCAAACATCAGAGGTGGGATCAGGTTCCATGGAGGAGTGAGCATCCCCTGCCGACCGGTTACACCCGCCGTGTGCTCCTTGTCATGATCGGGAAATAACGGAAAAATCCGTCGACAATTCAGTGTGTAAATAATGGCTAACAATTAGTGTGAAAAACGTCAGTCAGCATTTGACTCAATGATAAATTGTATTTGCTGACAAGGTCATTGTATTGACCATAGAACTTACGAAATGAAGACTTTAAACGAGACAGCTGATATTTTTAGATAAAAATTAAGACTTTTTTTATGCAGGTACATGTACATGCATTTGTGGAGAGGGGGGCTAAAACGGAATCTCTCTCTCTCTCTCTCTCATTTGTCCATTTAATCAAAACTGTGACACGTATTACTTAAATACCAAGTTCTGAAATTTTAATATATAACAAATAATATGAATGCTTCTTTGTATCACCTTGTCCAAGTTTAATCACGGGGAATTGTCTACAGATACATGTAGAAGTCTGTTGAATAAATCATCATTAAAAAAATGAAAAGACGCATAAATATATTATTGCATTAAATTTTTTTAAATACTAGTATATACGTGCAGTACGTCCACAGACTAGCAAAATATTTTAATTTTTTTCTAATTATTTTACACGGAATTGCCTTGACACGGAAATACATGTGTGGTTGTTACAACCGTTGTACAGTACCGACCAGACACAACCTAACACCAGAGCGAACCCAAAGCGGACCCCGGGTTGGCTCGGGGTCTGCTGCGGGTCCACTTTCAGAAATTTTGGGTTCACTCTGGGTTCGCCTTGGGTGCGCTTAGGGTTCGCTTGGGGTCAGCTCTGGGTCCGCTAGAGGGAACCCGGCGTTCGCTTTCTGGGTTCGCTTTACGCACTCATGCGTGAAGCAGACCCCGCTTTAATCTTGCCGCCAGTAAGCCCCGCCCCTTGTATATTCCAAATACAGTAGTGAAATCGATCATTGTTGTTTGTAAGGCAATCGATACATGTGCATGTACAATGGCTGCAGCGTTATGTGTTGACAACATATAGGAATGATCACGTTACACGAACGATTCCGCAAGATTAATCCTTCACTCGCACGATTCTTCATGTTACACGATCATTCACGACTGTTAAGGCAAACGCACGATTTTTGTACGCAAAATAGTTAAAAATGTTAAGGAGTGGATATTTTTAAGATGAAATTAGGCTTAATTTATTTAATAGATATTTTAGATTAAAAATATTTACTGCTGAAAATCATCGACTTTGGAAAACTGAAAGAAAATAGAAATGAATATTTTTGAAACTACATGTAAATAAGACCTAATAGTCATTTTAGATTACAAATAATTATTTATGTAATTCTCAGACTTAGGAAAATTGTTTTTTTTTTTTATGTTTTTGACATGTAAACATGTAATTTATGATCGAATGCTGAATTTTCTATCACATGATATAGGTTGGTGGTGAATTTTGATTCCACTGGATTTTATGATATGCAGTAAGGGGGTAGACTTTTAAAAATGGCCTAAAAATGAATTAAACTATAATCATCTTTCCATTTATGAATTTCAAAAATCAGTGATCTTTTTTAAAAAAAAACTCATTTATTTGCAGAAATTATATATATAAAAATAATAACAAGTATCAGGGATGAAAAGTAACCCCGACAATCATGTCGTGTACTTTGCCGACTAAATAATTATATGTGAGTATCGGGAATTCTTTTTTTTTCTTTCTTTCTTTTTTTTTTGTGAAAATATACATTTTTGATGTATTGATATAAAAATACCATGACTACAATTAGCAGTTTACCCTTTGACTGCTACGCGCGATTATAGTCGCGCTGTATTTACCAGGCCTCCACTGCTGAGCGCGACTTTTGTCGTTTTCATACCTGAGTAACTTTGGGGAATTTCCATTCGCTCGGGTTGTGTATGTTGACTGAATAAATTTGTTAGAACGTTTCTGATTGGTCATTTTATTCGTTAGGAAGGTTTCTAGAGTTTTTATATCAATATAATGAGAAATACAGAGGTGGAATGTTTATAGAAAAAAATCGATCGAAAGTAAAATGGCAAATGTAAATTGGAGTGACAAAGAGGAAGTATTGCAGTTTTTTAACGATGATAGTGACGACGAAGCAGAGTTTGAGGGGTTCGAAATTGGAGATATACAATTAGGAAACAGAAATACACTTGCTCAAGTACCGATGGGGGACTTTGTACCCGACAATGACCAGGATTTACCCACAGATTTGGAAGAAGGTTGGTCTTGGGATGACGCCGCGCCGATGCATGCACCCTTCATTGGAGAAGAGAAATTAAACATAAACATGGATGATTTTCAGCCTTTAACTTTTCTGAAACTGTTTGTGAATGATGATTTCATAAATTTGTTGGTTGAACAAACAAATTTGTATGCCGAAAGACGTGTAGAAGCAGAAAATGTTAGCCAGTTCAGTCGGCTGAAACAATGGCGTCCTGTCAACATGGCGGAGATGAAAGTTTTCTTAAGCTTGGTTATTTGCATGAGAAGGAATGACGTTCACGACTACTGGGCGACAGAGGATGTTCAGGACACTCCATTCTTCCGAGAACAAATGTCCAGGGATCGTTTTTTACTCATTTTGAGTAACTTTCACATCACAGACAATGAACTCCAGGTACCCAGAGGACAGGTGGGCTTTGATCCGTTGTACAAGGTGAGGATGTTTGTAAACCAAGTTTTGGATGCATTCAGTGATGTTTATTCCCCTGACAAAGACTTGAGTTTTGATGAAGCAACTTGTGCTTGGAAAGGGAGGTTGAGATTTAGAGTTTACAACCCAGCCAAACCTACCAAGTTCGGAATCAAACTTTACCAAGTTTGTGAGGCAAAGTCGGGGTACTGTATTGGTTTCGATATTTACACAGGAAGTACACCTTGCATACAGTATGCAGATGCAATTGGAGTAGATGAAGACTACATTATGACTACTCGAACAGTTATGGGTCTGCTTACAAGATGTGGACTTTTAGATCGAGGACACCATGTTTACATGGACAACTATTACACCTCACCTGAGTTGTTTGAGGAGCTAAGACTTCACAATACCTATACTTGTGGGACACTCTGGAAAAACGGAAGAGGTGTACCAGAAGCTATCAAAAGAAATATAAAACTGAAACCTACCCAAGTGATTTTCAGAAGAAAAGAATCGACAGAAATGCTGGCTGTAAAGTATCATGATAAGCGAGACGTAAACATGCTGACCACCATTCACGAAGCCAACATGTCCGTGCTCAACAAACGTGACAGGGCAACAAATGAGTATGTTGTCAATCCAACCTGTATTGTTGAGTATATAAGTCAGATGGGAGGGGAAGACTTGTCAGATCAGATAAGTCAGTATGACACTTGTTTGCGGAAAACAACTAAGTGGTACAAGAAATTATTTTTCCACCTGTTCAACCTGTGTGTTGTTAACGCCTACCTTTTGTACCGCAAGTTCAACGATGACGAGAAGAAGCTTGACAGTCATGGATTCAAAATGGCATTAGCAACAGCACTTATAAATGAAGCTCCTGATGTTCCTAAACCTAACACCAGCAAAGGAAGAAAGCACACAGGAGACAAAGCAGCCCGCCGTACAGAACGCCACTTCCCAGATCATATTGCAGCAAAGCCAGGTGCTAAACGAGCAAAGCCATGCAGGGATTGCTATGCCTGCAATCCTAAAAAAACCAATAGACAAGGGTTCAAAAGGAAGCAAACAACTTTCTGGTGCCCAGACTGCAAGAAACCACTGTGTGTTCCAGACTGCTTCCGTGCATACCACTCTCTGCAGAATTACAGAGGTGTATTGTTACCTGGTGCAGGTAATGAGGACAGCAGTGACACTGATAGTGACTGAACATTGTCATGTTTGATGATTATGAAAGTGATCAATATTGCATTGATTTTAAGTGAAAAATAACAGTAAAGAGACATTCTCTATGAAATTTTATTTCATGTTCTTAGTATTATTTTACCTTGTTTTGAATTTTGTAACCTGTCTGTCATACATGAATAAACTTGATAAAATGTTGTTTTTTTTTTAACTTGCATATATATAAACAATTTCTCATTCATTGTTGGTTTATAAAGATAAAAATGGTGAATAATTAATCTTTTAATCAACCCTAGTATTTATTTATAGTGTTTTTCACCTTTAGACTTACCTGTACAGGTAAATATAAAAAAAATCTGAGGAAATGAAACTCATAATTGAAATCCTTGACTTTTTCTGATAAATTTTCATATAACTTTTATGTATGTATTATGAAAAATAACTAATATATAAGGTTTTGAAAAAGTCAAGCATTTTTCTGTGATTTCTCTAAATTAATTCAGCAGTAGCAGGCTCTGTAGCTAAATTTATCTCGGTAGCCTAAGGGTTAACATAATTAACATCAGAGAAAAATTGTTAAACTTAAAAACGCTTTATCAGTAAAAGTTACGATATTTTAAGAGAATACAATACTGTACGACTTACTATTTTACTTAGTTATTCCAATAAATTAGATCATTCAATTATATAAAACACGCTTCATTTTTTCTTTTTATTTCAGTTTAAAAAAAAAACAAGCTAAATCAAGATTTACATTATTTTTTGTAAAAGATTAATCAAATTAATACCATAATATAGTAGTTTACGATTGGACATACATGTACATGTACATTTATGCTGTACATTCATTTTTTTGAGGCGCATCGCTATCAGCGATGTAGCCTCATTGGTGTCGACCCCCAATTCTTTATGCGGCGACAAAGGACTCCACAATATTGATTCTAAATACGCTATTGAAAATAGTGCAAATGTATATTGACCAGTTGGTGATATTCATTGTCTTTTTTAAATATCAATGACATAAACTCTCACATATACCGAGTTTTATGTTTTTTATACGTTGAAAGCAAGAGAGAAAACAAAAAAGAAATAAACCCCCAAAAAGAGAGAAAACAACAACAAACAAACATGTGCGCTACGCGGAGTAAGATCTATTTGCATCACAACAGCTCGTACTTTAAATTATTAGGCCTTGTAAAGTGACATTGCTTGTACGAATATCTGAGGAAAATATACAATAATTTTATTTTTCAAAACATCACCAACAACAGGAACAAGACGGTTGGGTTTCTTTTTATAGAAATAGAAGGGATACTATTATTTTTTCACTCGATGAAACGAATAGTAAGATGTCCAACTGAATAAATGATTGCAACTAGCGCCACCTTTCGGGGAAAATCCACGAGGGTGACATGAAATGGTGAAATGGCTTTTTGGTAAAATATCGGTTGAATATGATTTAATGACATATAAAAAACTGCAATGACTGTGGATTTCAAGTTATAGGATTAATAATACCTTATTAACATAGACTTTTTGAGTTTAATCCCTACTGCCAAGGTTTTATAGAGCCAATTTTATCGAAAATATCGGAGGAAATCGGCCGCCATTGATGGGTTTCATAATATACGGTATACCACGCCCGATTGTTTTTTTTTTTTAGTCCCGTATTACATGTACATGTATTTATATGAACATTTCGTGTATCCCACTATGGTTTACGTATTATGCCATTTTGATTGAGAAAACTAATCTAAGACAAAGTATTGATATTAAAAAAGTGCACATAATGAAAGAAACTAAAAAAATTCAGAATACGATATTATATAGAATTATTCAATAATCATTCCTTTCTAAATTCTCATTCATTATTTCATCTTCCTACTATGATAATAATGAAAGAATAAAAATAAAAAATAAAAATATAATTAAAAACAGCAATTATAATTCATTGATATTTAAATTCATTTATAATTGCATTCATGCAATTATAAATTAATTTAAATATCAATGAATTATAAATGATATATCGGACTATCTTAAAAAAAAAATGATTGTTTGAACTCTCCCGACCGACTGGCTAAAAATGCCAAGACTCAAAACGTTTTTTAACCTCAAAGAAAAGATATTTTACATTTTATTTTTATTCCTGATTTACCCTCAACATGTAAGTTTAATTTTACTGAGAAAATTTTTTTGTTGAGTTTTCTATCTTCAATGCGATGCGCCTCTCAGGCCTTCAGGCCTTTGATTTTTTATTTTCAATTAAGAAGATCAATTATTTTGATATTGATCTGGATTTATACGAAAATATACATTAGAAGTATAAAAATAAAATAATTGAATAATAGCACATACATAAACATAATCTTGTACAGTATCTTGAGATGATGAAATGCTGTAATTTGTCAAAAACCTTTTTTTTTGTTTTATTTTTAGTAACAATTGTAATAACCATTGCTTTCTCTTTTTTTTTTCTTTTATACATTAGGGTATGTTTTGTCTGATAAATTTACGCAATGTAAATTAATGGATTTTGAAAATGAAAAAAAAAATAAATGTGTAAATATAATATGCTACCTAGATATTTAAAATATATTAATTAATTTTTTTTGATAATGTTAAAAATAGTTTCACACTGTAAATTTACATGCTTTGCTTGTACAATGTTTTATTTACATCGAATGACAAACTGGCATGCTGATTGGTCGACCCGCTGATTGGTTAACACGTTTTATCACTAATCCTGATTGACAGCTCTGTTACGCAACACCGAACGCGCGTTTGCTCTCTGGGTTCGCTACTGAATTTGGGGTTCGCTTTCGACGTTCGCTCTGGGTCCGCTGCGGGTTCGCTTGGGGTTCGCTCGGGGTCAGCTATAGCGAACCTGAAGCGAACCCGGGGTGCGCTTTGGGTTTGCTTTCTGTTAGGTTGTGTCTGGTCGGTACTGTAATTCATTCTGTAAGTCAGTAATGTATTCTTCGAAAATCATTATTTATAATGGTTTTAAATAACAAATAAGAATAAACATATTTATTTTACAACTAGAATATTTTTTTCTTTTAAACTACAGCGTTCCGTAACAATGACAATGGCAGCGATAAAAATCGTGTGATTAAACAGCTGAATTTAAACATCATACATATGTGCAGAAAATATTGTAAGAAACTTAATTAATAGTTTTACTAAATATGCATGTTTCATCTTTCTTAGGACAATTTTTGAATATTTATTTATTCATTTATTTTCCACCTGACATTAGAATACAATAGAATAGATACAATGCATGGAAAAGATCAGAGGCATTCCGAATATATCATTCATCTTGCGTTCACTGTTCACTTTGCGCTCACGTTCGTGCTCTGTTCGCGTTCTGCGTTCGCTCACCGTTCAGCGTTCACCTTCCATTCACCAAGTTGGGTTCAGCGTTCACACATCGTTCACTCACCATTCGCTCTGTGTTCGCTCACCGTTCGCTCTGCGTTCGTTCAGTGTTCGCTCACCGTTCAAGTGGGAAAGTAGAACGTTTCAGGGACTGTAACTAGAGTTTACTTGAAAAATAAAATATAAGGAAAATGTGTATTTTGATATGATTAACTGATTAATCGGTTGGAACGTCTTTTGGTTGACCGATTAGTAATTCTGTATTCGATTGCCATCCCTAGTATAAAGAATAGCTAATTCCATATATAAAGGGTAATTGATATGCATTTATTTTATTTTTCTAGTTAATACAATTGATTTGTACAACTTTCAAGTTGGATTTGCCATTTAGAAGAAAATCATCATGTTTTGGGATAATGAAAGGTAAATGCAGCTAAAACAGTTGAATGAAAATGTTTATCAAAATACTGTATGTGTACATAAATTGGTGTATTCAAAATTTAGTGCAATCACTGGGTATGGAGTTGTTGGAAAAATCATGAATTAGCGCTATACATGTCCATGCCCTATATTGTATTTATAAATGATTTCTTAGTGGTATTCATGAATTAGCGCATCATTGTCTGTGCCAAAGCCACTGAAATATGTAGGTAGGTTTTTGAAAGTTTTGAAACTTGGAATGGCCTAATTGAGAGCAAACATTGACCTTTTAATACTGACACCATATAGTTTAAAAGGAATGTCTTAAAGATCCATCAAATCAAATAAAATTTTGGTAAGGCATTCCTCTGTAAAACCTCTTCATGAAATATATGGAGATAACGAACAGTATTCAAGCTCAAAAGTCCATTAATCAATACAAAATAGGAGCAGAGCAAACACGGACCTCCAAACATCAGAGGTGGGATCAGGTTCCATGGAGGAGTGAGCATCCCCTGCCGACCGGTCACACCCGCCGTGTGCTCCTTGTCATGATCGGGAAATAACGGAAAAATCCGTCGACAATTCAGTGTGTAAATAATGGCCTAACAATTAGTGTGAAAAACGTCAGTCAGCATTTGACTCAATGATAAATTGTATTTGCTGACAAGGTCATTGTATCAACCATAGAACTTACGAAATGATGACTTTAAACGAGACAGCTGATATTCTTGTTTCATCAACTTATTTGTCAATAATTTACCTCGTTTTAGAAATTGTACATACGTAGAGCATGCTCTTGCGTATCGAATCAACTGAGAGATATATACCCCGTATGCAGATGATGAAGGTATATTGCTGCATAAGTAAGGGAAGTTGACGATTGAAAAGTTAAAGTCATCACGTTTATCATAAAGCTTGGTTGTTAGATTACCATTAACGTCTTTTTCAAGTAAAATATCCAAATATGAAACAGATGTGTCAGACTCTGTGGTATCTTTTATCTCAAGTTCACAAGGATATATTGTATCGACATAAGAATGGAAATAGCCAGACAATACGTCGTTGATATATCTAAATGTTGAGTTGCAGGCCACAGCAAGTGTTTTCTTCTTTTCACGTACAAGATTTTGGACAAATTCTGCTTCATATGAATACAAAAAAAGGTCTGCTAATTTCATTCATTGTCTTCAGACTGTTTACTTTTAGAAATGATCAATCTTGGAGCATTTGTGTTTATCAAACATGGCTTGTTTTTTTTTTTGTTTTTTTGTTTTTGTTTTTTTAGAAAAATCTACTCTTAGAGTAAAGATTGTGCCACCAAAAAAGAGTTCATGCCTGTATGTCTGCCAGTACTGCTTAGTTCACTTAGGTGATATAGGTAAGGAGTATATATAAGATTTCTTCTCCCCAGCTAGATCCTCTATGTCAAATCAGACGTAATTATAGTACCCGCATTGTTATTCTTTACAGAATACACAATATGATAGGATAAATACATGATATTATAGGATACATGCATGACAGGATAACTGTAAAATACAGTATATGCAAAACACGATAGATCTGATAAACGATCACAATAGGATAAACACAGAACCTGATAGGATTGTTTCAAAATGCAAAAACACTTCTGACAAAACAAATTTTCTTTTATGATGTACTGTAGTATGATAATTTTAATTGCTTAAAAAAGCCACAAATCTAACTGATAAATTATATATTAAATGCACCATATGATAAAACAATTGAGCTGCTTGTCTATCCTTTTTTAAAAAGAAACTTGTTTATTTTCTGTCAATAAAGTGGATTGTCATCAAATTCAAACTGTAATTATTTTAGATTAATTCCACTTTATTGCCTTTTTTTTAGGGGTAGGTTGGGACCACTTACTCAATTTTACTTTTTATTACTGAACTAATTTCTGAACTAATCACATGTATATCCATGAAGAAATGGTAAAATTATCTCAATAAAATACGGTAAAATTGCACTAGGTCTAATGCATTATTTACATCAATGGGTCTTTGTGACATCATAAAACCACAACTTCAAGAACGATAAGACGGTAACAAATTTATCAAGTGCACAAGTTTACACCTTCATTTCAAAGTTAAGCAAAGGAAATTTTTTTGTACTAAACGAAATTTGACATTCTTTATTCATGTATGAAAAGTAAAATCCTAGTGTTAAGAACCATTTTGTATGACCTTTAAGCTTTTGAGTACTTACTTGTTCACATACTGACTTAATACCATTGTTCCAAAAAATGTAAGTATAGTTAAAACTTAACAATTGTTTGTTTTTCTTCAGCTCGGTACAGACAACAGGTGGAACAAGCCCAAACATTTTACTGGCATGCTGCAAACCTTGTGCCATTCAATGGTTAGTTCTCAAATGAAGATTGATTGATTGTTAGTTATTTTACTTGTTCAAGAATCAAATGAAAAAGACATGATATATGTTGTTAATCATTGAACATCAGTTCTACAGATTCACTTGGACAGTTTCGAACAAAATTGTCAGGGAGGTGTTTAGCTATTCCACGGTTTTTAGGTCACCTGACAACTATTTTTAGCTCACCTGAGCTGAGGGCTCAGCGCTTTTCTGATCAAAATTTGTCTGATGTCTGTTGTTGTAAACTTTTTATGATTTGATCTTTCTTCTTCTGCATAACCCCTGGACCCTTTTCAACCAAACTTGGCACAGAGTATCCGTGGGTTTAAGGGGATCCAAGTTTATTCAAATGAAGGGCCAAACCCTCTTCCAAGGTGATATAATTAAGAAAAAGTAAAAAGTATTTGAAGTCATTTAAAAATCTTCTTCTCAAGAACCACGGGGCAAAGATTAAGAAACTTATGTGAAAGTTTCCTGACATAGTGTCAATTTAAGTTTGTTCAAATCATGACCAGAAGGGATAGGGTGGGGCCACAAAGGGAGGTCAAAGTTTTACATAGGAAAGAATAGGAAAAATCTTTAAAATTCTTCCTCTCAAGAACAGCAAAGCCGTGATTGTTGATATTTATATGGAAGCATCCTCTGGTAATGTAGAATCAAATTTTCTCAAATCATGACCCCCAGGGCTAGGGTGGGGTCACAATGGGCAATCAAAGTTTTACATAGGTATACATAGGAAAAATCTTCTTCTCAAGAACAGCAAAGTCATGATTGGTTATATTTATATGGAAGCATCCTCAGGTAGCTTAGCTTCAAATTTGTTCAAATCATGAACCCGGGGGTAGGGAGGGGCCACAATTGGCTATCAAAGTTTTACATAGGGATACATGGGAAAAATCTTCAATTTCTTCTTTTAAAGAACAACAAAGCCATGATTGGTCATATTTATATGGAAGTACTAGTATAGATTGTTTTGTTAATTTCTGAGTATCTTATTTCTCTTGCTTTTAGGCAATTTATCTTCATCTATCAGTTTGTTTTACTTTATACTTAAATCTATGAATCCTTTACAATGTTGTATTATACTCTTTCCTAACTACACATTTCAATATTAATATTAACAGATAAAATGTAAAGTGAAAATTTATGATGAATGACTGGTAGAATTTTCTATTTTTTAGGACAACCATACAATCAGCTAGCTATTGTAGAGGCTGCAAGGGGAAACAAGTTAACCACAGTTTTTTATTATATCCGCAGCCTGGCTCTCCGACATCCTTTTCCTGCTGCTGCTACTAATTTGGAAAAAATGTACACAAAACTCACAAAAGACATGTAAGACTGAAGAGGCATATTGTCATATTTGTATAATCCTTCGTAATTAATTTGCATTCAAGAATTTTGAAACAATAGTGCAAAAGTCAAGAAATGCTGTAATGAAAAATAATTTTAAATTTCAGTGTCTTTTTAGCTCGACTAAGCTGAAAGCCCAAGTGAGCTTTTCTAATTGCCCTATGTCCAGTGTACATCCTTCTGTCTGTCCATCTGTAAACTTTTCATATTTTCAACTTCTTCTTAAGGGTCCTCCACACCCTGTGACTTGTGACATATATTGAGAAAAAAATACTTTTACTTCCGGTTTTATATAGTTTGTGCACTGACGATTTGCCTGGCACTGCCTGTAAGGGAGTCTTAGAAATATTAGCGCTTTAGAGATAAAGGTTTCATCAAGTGGAAAGTATGCAGTAAACTGAGAGCAACACCTTATTCATAAACAATTAACACATGGCGTGATCAAGGCGTGAACGAAAGAAAAAAAGGTGTTGATTTTTTCAGTAAAAGAAGCAGACCTTTGGGTTTATGTTGCATAATAATTCGTAATTAACAGGTATATCTACGAGAAAAGTTTTAGATTATTCATACAATCCATTGTGATATCGTCAACAAAGTCTTTAATGTGAAAGTTAATATTTTTGCACACAGATTTGTGCATTTCAATAATACCCATCTTGTTGTGTGTTTATAAATTTTGATAAATAGTGTGCATTTCTAGCTTTGCTCATTTTTAGGTCACCTGAGTCACTCAGGTGACTTATTGCTATCCGTTTTTGTCCGTCGGCGTGCGTCGTGCGATGTGCGTTAACATTTGAACATTTTTAGCTTCTTCTCTGAAACCGCTCAACCAATTTCAACCAAATTTGGCATATAGCATCTATGGGTGAAGGGGAACAAAAATTTTGAATTTCATGATCCCTGCCCCCCTGGGGCCTGAGGGGTGGGGCTAAAACCACCAAAATTAATGCGATCTTTAAAAATCTTCTTCTTTACTCCTGGACATCAAGCAGTCAAACTGTTGGCATGATTGTAATAAGCATTGACCCCTCTACCAAAATTGTGAAATTCATGGCCCCAGGGTCAGGGGTTCTGGTGCTAGGGAGGGGTTATATAGATTATATAGTGAAAGTGCATTATTTCTTTGAAAATCTTCTTCTCTGCTCCTGGGTATTAAATAAACTAACTAAGTATATAGTTATGATGAGTAAGAGTGCCTCTTCCAAAATTGTGAAATTCATGGCCCCAGGGTCAGGGGTTCTGGTGTTAGAGCGGGGCTCTATTGATTATATAGTGAAAATGCATTAGTTCTTTGAAAATCTTCTTCTCTGCTCCTGGGTATTAAATACAGTAACTAAGTACATAGTTATGATAAGCAAAAGTGCCTCTTCTAAAATTGTGAATTTCATGGCCCCAGGGTCAGGGGTTCTGGTGTTAGGGAGGGGCTCTATTGATTATATAGTGAAAATGCATTAATTCATTGAAAGTCTTCTTCTCTGCTCCTGGGTATTAAATAAAGTAACTAAGTACATAGTTAGGATGAGCAAGAGTGCCTCTTCCAAAATTGTGAATTTCATGGCCCCAGGGGCAGGGGTTCTGGTGTTAGGGAGGGGCTCTTTTGATTATATAGTGAAAATGCATTAATTCTTTGAAAATCTTCTTCTCTGCTCCTGGGTATTAAATAAAGTAACTAAGTATATAGTTATGATGAGCAAGAGTGCCTCTTTCGAAATTATGAATTTCATGGCCCCAGGGTCAGGGGTTCTGGTGTTAGAGCGGGGCTCTATTGATTATATAGTGAAAATGCCTTAATTCTTTGAAAATCTACTTCTCTGCTCCTGGGTATTATTGAAACAAATTAAATACATAGTTTTGATAAGCAAGGATGCCTCTTCCAAAATTGTGAAATTCGTGGCTCCTGGATCAGGGGTTCTGGTGTTAGTGCGGGGGCTCTATTGATTTAATGTGAAAATGTTTTAATTCTTTAAAAATCTTTTTCTCTGCCCCTGGGTATTATTCAAACAAACTAAGTACATTGTTATGATAAGCAATGATGCCTCTTCCAAAATTGTGAAATTCATGGCCCCGGGGACAGGAGTTCTGGTGCTAGGGCGGGGCTATATAGATCCTGTAGTGAAGGTGAATTATTTCTTTGAAAATCTTCTTCTCTGCCCCAGGGTATTGTTTAAACAAACTAAGTACATTGTTATGATAGGCAAGGATGCCTCTTCCAAAATTGTGAATTTTATGACCCCAGATTTAAGGGTTCTGGTGGGGGGGGGGGGGGGGGGCTTCTATTGATTATAAAGTGAAAAAGCAAAATTTATTTGAAAATATTCCTTTCTGCTTCTGGTTAAAAAAGCAATGAAGCTAAGTGTATAGTTATGATGAGCAAGAGTGCTTCTTCCAGAGTAGTGAATTTCATGAGCCCTGGGTCAGATGTGCTGGTGTGAGGGTGGGGCTCTTGATAATATAGTAAAAATGCATTAATTCTTTTAAATAATCCTGTTTGCTCCTTGGTGTTAAGCAGATAAAGTGATTAGTTATGATGAGCAAACTTATGGTCCCAGGGTCAGAAGCTCTGGTGTTGGGGGGAGGGAAAGGGGGGGGGGGGGCTCTATTGATAATATAGTGAATCTGTAGTGAAAATGCATTATTTCTTTAAAAATCTTCTCCGCACCTGGGCATATCAGAGGCAAAAAGAGTAAAAGTTTTAATAAGGAAGATTATTTTTACCAGATTTTTGAACATCTGGACCATTTGGTCAAGTGTTCTGGTCCTGGCCAGGGCTCTATTATTTTGTATTCTGAGAGGAGTTATTCCCCTTTGCCATTTACTTTTGATAATTTATCACTGTAAATAATGTACTTGAAAGGTAAATAGAATAAGATAATTATGCAAAAACTTTTATTGTATAATACAAAAAGTACTTTCATAGTTTTAATGATCAGATAGACTTGTAAGTAGTAGATAAATAAAAATGAGACAAAAATAACTTGTCTTATTAAATGTTCATCAAGGACCAATAGAGGCCAATGTAAGAAATTTTAACAAAGGATTAAAATAGTACAGAAGCATTGATAATTTGTTAATATACTGTATGGTGATAGTGATAAATGGGAATCAGATTTATGGAACATAATTTATAAACTGTTAATGAATATTAAGACCAATTATTTTGTTGATCATGATCACCCTATTTTTCTTGCTTTTTGGCAACAAAGTTTCACCTTTCAGTTCATTTTATACTCTATGCATCCTTTAAATTGTTGTATCATACTCAGGTGACCATTAAGGCCTTTGGGCCTCTTGTTATACACTCCTGATCTGTTGCCAGATCTTGAGTATGATGACGTATATGGAGACTTAACAAAGTTTTTGAATCCCGGGCAACAGGAAAGATAACTCTAAAAAGGAACTTCGATACCAAAGATTTTGAAAATAATTTTTCTACATCAATAAATTTTAATTCAATTTCTTTTTGTAAATTAATTTATTAATGTTTCTTCTATACTATCAGGAGTCTTCCTTTATTTTTTCTCCATGATCTTTAGAGAAAACGAGTTTTATTTATTTTTTATAACTTTAATTAATTTCTTTAAAAAATATGTTGACTGATAAAATTAAGTGTTTGTGTTTGTTTTGTGAGCTTGATGATATACGATAGGAAAAAACAAAATTTGTTGCACTACGCAATTTTGAATCTCAATGGAAAAAATATCTTGAAACTTATGACATTAAATTTTTTAAAAATCAGTATAAATTATATTTCAATTCCTGGCCAGATTTTAAAGGTTGATATGCTTGTTAAAAGTAATGCTCAGTAATATGAGAACATAGGCTGGGGGTTTGTGGAAGACCCTTAAAGTTTGCACAAAGCGGGTTAAGGGGATTCTGAATTTTTCGAATGAAGGGCAAAGCTCAGATCCAAGGGAAGATTAATAAAGAAAAGGCAGAAATAGAAATGAAAAATGAAACTTAATTGAAATATCTGGAATCAGATTCTAAATTGTCTAAGTCATCACCCTAGGTAAAGGGGGCAGCATAGGGGATCAATGTTTTACATTGAAATAGGTTAGAAAAATCTTTAAAAGTCTTCTAAAGGACCAATGGACCAGTAACAAAGAAACAAGTAAAAGCATCCTGAGGTAGTATTGATTGTAAATTGTTCAAATTATGGCCCTTAGAATCACAACATGGGAATCAAAGTATTACATTAGACTAAATTTTTTTAAGAACTAGACCCAATTGCAAAAATTGAAACTTATATGAAAGCTTTCTGAGGTAGTGTAGATTTTAAATTGTTTGCATTTTGGCCCCCAGGGGGAAGGGTAGGGCCACAATGGGGGATCAAATTTTTACATTGGACTTTAAAGGATTTTTTTTTAGCTTAACAGAGCTGGAAGCTTATTGAAGCTTTTTTTTCTCACCCATTGTCCAGCATCTGTCCATCTGTACATTTGTCCATCTATCTATAAATTTTTCACATTTTCAACTTCTTCTATAAACTTTTCACACTTTCAACTTCTTTTCAAGAACCATCTGGCCAATTTAAAGTTGGTAGAAAGATCTGCTGGTTTAGGGGATCCTAAATTTTAAAATGTAGGGTCAAGCCCCCTTCCAATAAGATAATCAAGAAAATGCAAGTAGGGTGGGTTCCTGAGGTAGTGTAGATTGTAAATTACTATATACAGGATTATTTTCACCCCATCTTATTTTCGCCCTTTCACGCCTGCAAACAATTTCCCCCTGTTTTGAATTCACCCAGACACAGTTTTGAAGAGATAATGCCATTTTCTTTGAATTCGCTCCATTTTCAAATCATCGAACTGCAACAAGGTGAAAGGCAAAAATAAAACGGGGGCAAAAATTTCCATGTATACATTAATGTAGATTCCTAAATAAAAGCGAGGAATAAATATCTGCGTAAAAATGCGAAAAGATTCACTCGCGGATTCAAAAATCACGCTTTCATTTGCTCCAATATTGATGTGTTCAGTGGA